ACAATAAGCAGGAATTTCATCAGTCACTATTCTCATGTGGTCTCAGGGACCACAGTCAGCCTCGGGGCTGAGGCAAAGGCTCTTTGCTGCCCCCTGGTGGTAAGGCACAGAGCCGTCTCCCACAGGGGTCTCAGGGAGATACAGCCTTAAAAACAAGAAACTTGCTTTGGGMTTTATTGCTTCCCTGATGACCTCCAAGAATACTCATGCAACTTTTTGGAAATGGGTGAAGAAGAAAACCCCTAAGAGCTCCAAAAGAAGCATGATGTCTTCCTCGTATGTGTGTGTGTGTGTGAGGGGAGGGTGAGTATGAAAGGCTTTGGTAGTCTTCCTCCTGGACAGGGAAGCTGGGGATGGGGACTCCTTTGCTGGCTTACTCCCTGGAGGTGGTGACCAGGGAGAGGGAGGGAGCTGTGATGTTCCCTGTGGGCATGGCTGCTGTTCCTGGGCTGCCCCTGAATTTCCCMGTGTTCTCAATTTTTCTGACCTTGGAGCTCTGTCTTTGCTGGCCTGGCTCATCACTCATCCACGGCCCAGGGTGCTGTCAGCAGGGGTGGAAGCAGCCCATGTTGTGTTATTTAATAACAACTTGCAATTTTCCATGAGCCCCCTAAGAGGTTTCGGTCAGGGGTCTTCCTTCTCTGAGCATTGGAGAAGTGCCCCTTTGGGGGTGCCCTCAGGGTCTGCTGTGTGTCCCTCTAGTCCAGTGCTTAGGTCAGGCAATTTCTACCTTCCTTGTAGACTGTGGGTWTCTGGAGGGACCCCCACACACACACTTTGGTACATAGTCCATAGTAAATATTTGATAAGGACACAGTGGCTAGGCCACAGAATGATTGAATTCTGCTCTTGAAGACAAGGAACCACACCTGGCCAAATCTCTTTTCTCCCATGGTGCTCAGCAGGGAGCTTCACACATAGCAGTAGCTCAGTGAATGCATAAAGACAGCATGTTCTCAGAGGGCTCTTTAAGACCCTGATRTTAATTAGTGAATCAACTGTATTTGAGTATAGTAGTCCTCCCTTAGCTGTAGTTTCACTTTTGGTTTGAGGTACCCAAGGTAGAATGTGGTTAAAATAGTAAACGGAAAATATTTAAGTGGGAAATTCCAGAAATAAATGATTCCTAGATTTTAAATTGTAGGCCATTCTGAATAGCATGATGAGATCTTTCAGCATCTCCCTCTGTATGCCTGGGACATGAACCACACCTTTGTCCAGCATATCAGCACTGTAATCACTACCTGTCCATTAGTCAGTGGCCTTCTGTGTCACTGTCATGGTATCACGGTGCTTGTGGTTACATAACCCTTATTTTGCTTAATAATGGCCCCAAAGCACATGATTAGTGATGCTGGCAATTTGTATATGTATGCCAATGAGAAGCCATAGAGCGCTTCCTTTAAGTGAAAAAGTGAAAGTGTTAGATTTAATAAGGAAAGAAAAAAACGGTGTACTGATACTGTGCCTAATTTACAACTTTATCATAGGTATGTAATTATAGGAAAAAAGAGGCTACGGAGGCTTTGGTACTAGCCATGGCTCAGACATCCATTGGGGGTCTTGGAACATATCCCCCACAGATAAGGGGGGTGCCACTGTACCTCCTAAGTACCCTAATAGGTTCTGGGAGTTTTTTCAAGGAAGCATAAGCATCTGGCTTCTAAGAACATGACTTTGTAACATTTAAATTGACACAATAATTGTACATATTCATGTGGTGCAGTGTGATATTTTAGTACATGTATACAAGGTGCAAGGATCAAATCAGGGTAATTAGCATATCTATTACCTCAAACATTTATTATTTCTTTGTGTTGGAAACGTCTTCTAGCTGTTTGAAATGTACAAAAAAAAAAAAATGATTGTTAACCAGAGATGGATAATGTTTGAACAGAGGGCCTTGCATCTTTTCTTTTGTATCAGGCTCTGGAAATTATGCAGTCAGTCCTGAGGTGAGGTCGAGGTTGGGGCGATCTGGGCAGGGTTCGGCCAGGTGGGATGGGGCTGGAGCTCGAGGAGGTGACTGTCCTGGTGTCAAGCAGCAACAAGTACCCACTCAGGACATGCTTTGGGAGGTCAGAGGTGGATGGCTTTGGATCCCTGTGTGTAAGTCTGCCTGTGAGGAAGTGGCGGCTCCCCGCTGGGGCTGCCCACGGGTCTGGTCTGCCCTGTGGCAGAAGAGTGTGCTCCTCTTACCCAGGGGAGCCYGAGACAGCCACAGCCGCAGAGCCCACTGGGAAAGGCCTTGCTTCACTGCACTAGATTTACTCTCCCTTCTGGAATGTGCTGGAAAATCCAGAGGAGAGAAATGACTCTGTGCCTGTCAGAATAGGGGTTCCACTCTGAGCTGAGCACGGTTCTGGCACCGGTGGGTCTTGGTCTGGTGTTTGAAGAAGTGCTGGTGCTCGGGGCCTCTTCTTGGTACTCTGTTGGAGGAAAGGGTGCAGGACCTCTGGAGAAGCAGAGCCCCATCTTTGATCCCTAGGGACACAGATATTTGGCAGGATAAGAGACACTTCAAAATCACCGCTCCTGTTCTTTGACAGATGGACGGACCTTGAATTCCAGCCTTTCCTCTACTTACCTAAACTAATAGCTTAGCTTGTCCGGGCACCTGCCATACAGTCCTATTGTGAGGGTGAGGTGCCCAGGTAGTGGCTGTCAAGAGATGCCATTACCATTGTTGATGACAGTCTGGGGCTTGGGAGATCAGCAAAGGGAGGGACCATTTGGGCCTGCATGATGGGGGAGGGTGGGCTGGCACTAGATCCACAGGCAGAAAAAGGCAGGGCCCATTGAGGGTGGAGAAGAGCTTGTGGCCTGTTTAGAGTGCGCCTAGGGTGAGCAGGAGAGTGGCGTGAGCCTAGACACTCAGAATAGTGTGGTGGCAGCCTGTGCCCTGTGCCATCTTGCCTGCAAATGAAGGGGCCTTTGCAGGGGGAGGTGGCAGAGCTCTTTCCACAGCCTGCCTCCTCCATGAGGCCCTGTTGGAGCTTTGGGAAGAGGGCCTGGTCTCTTCTGTCCCCTGCCCTGGTTTGTGCCATTCTGTTGGTCACTCTTATCCTGTTCTGTCTGTTGGTGTCTGACTTCTCCATCTGGTCTACCTTCATTTAAGGGAAGATGGAATCATCCCAGGGAGCTCACAGTCTCCAGCCCAGTATGGCCTCAGCCCACCTGCTCCTTCCTTCCCTACAGAAAGGCTGCTATCCCAGCTACCGGAGAAAGTGTTGGCTGGTAAGAAACCTCTGTGACCTCAGGCAGGTTTCTTAACCTCTCTGGTCCTCAGTTTCCTCAGGAATACATATGTTGTAACTTGGAGTTTTGGGGAGGAAATAAGAATTGATAAGAAGGACTGGCGATACTACCCTACCTGGGTACATGCTAGGACAGAGCATTTGCTGTGTAAGTCTGAGCAGAGCCGGCATATCAGGAAGCCATCTTCAGAGATGAAGGGGATGTGGGGGACTGCCTCCTGCCTCCTGGTCTAGAGACCTGTCCCTTTGTGCAATCCTGCCGGTGTGGGGGACAGAGGGGACCGTTTCAGGGCCTAGCTGACATAGGATGAATGAAACACGGGGCTGTGGGCAGTTTGTGCAAAATGCAAAGTGGCCCGGTCTTGTGACTATTAAAAGAGCTCCATTGGCCAGGTGCTGCCATGCCCTGGCATGCCTCTCTCCTCAGGCCTCAGGGATACCTGAGCGTGTGCCCTACTGTCATGGCCACTTACAGAAGCAGAAACAGAGCCTTAGCATCTCTCCATTGTTTTCACCCCTCATAGCCTGGTTCCAGAGCCCCACGGCCCCTCAGCCGGGCACTTCTGCCCCTCCCTGAGCCCCACTGGAGTTTTGGGGCTCCAGATCCCAGGGAACATTGCCTGGTCCCACCTGCCCATTCCCATCATCCTGCTGCCCCTGGGGGAAGCACTGCCCTCGGGCCTGGCTTCCTATTTTCAGTGGAACCGACAGCCCCACACATTCCACAGAGGCAGTGGCGTCGACAGGTATTTGGGAAACACCAGTTTTCTTTGCCTATACGTCTGTCCCTGTTTATTTAGGAAATGGTAAGCAATTTATTGACATCCAAGATTAATTAAATAGGGGAAAAAAAAGTCAGAGTCTAGGATTTTGGTACATTTCAAATATATTTTATTACTTTTCTTTTCATCTTAGAAAGAATATGAAACCTGCATGCAGTGCTAATGGTTTCTGACATTTACATGGCATATAACACACCAGTACCTCTACCAAAGGAGTGCGGGGTAMTCTGCAGAGCGTATGTACAAAGGAAAGGGCGTCTGGTCATCTTGGCTTCCAAAAGATTACTGCACTGTCTACCATTGTGTGGGGAGTCACAGGGATATTGCTTTTCTACTGCATGTCCCCTCGGGGTGAGGGACGCTCAGGTGGCTTCCCCTTGATCAACTGAATCCATGTCTCGGGCTGTGGACTGTGTATGTAATTGTGTATTTTAAAGTTTTCTCCTAAGGGTTTCACTAACATGTTTCTGAAACCTTATATATCGAAGCAGCCAACCTTTCAGAAACCCTCAGGTGGGAGCTAAGACCCAACCCCTTCTTTAAAGACCGTTGGCCTTGCCACCTTGGGATCTTGGACACAAATGTTTCCCAGAATGTGGAAAAATGAACCTGGGCAGGGGGGCAATGAGGCATGATGCTCTGGCCACCAAACGGATCTAAGCACAGATGCAGAGAGGCCTGTTCCTACTTGCCTGGTGACAGGGGCCACTGTGGAGTCACGGAGGCTGTGACCGGCTGCAAGCCCAGGAGAGCTGTGGCAGCTGTGCCGAGGCGCCAGGCCCTCTGGGCGGAAGCTTCCCCAGCTAGAACCGGAGCAGATCTGCAATGAAATGTCTCACCGAGCTCAGTGTTCCTCCTGGGCGCTTATAAAGCTCAGATGTGTAGTGACGCATGGACGAATACAAAAAAGCATTTTTTAAAAAGGAAAGGCATGAGTTTCCCCCTTTTTTTTCGGTAAAAAGCCGCCTGTGTTAAAATCTGGCGTGCAGGAGAGTTGGGTCTCACATCTGGAAGCCTTTTGCACACAGCTATAAAATGTAAAAACTGACCCTTGGTAAAAAGTGCTTCGTAACAATATATAATTTGTGTCTTATGCCTGTGAGAAAGAGAGRATTTTTTTCTTAATTTTTTTTWATTTTAATCTGTAAAGTCCTTTGCTGAAGTCTCCCAACTGGTCTGGAAGTGTTTCTACCCAAGATCCGTCACCCTATTCTTCGTAGACCCTGGGAAGAGAAAATGCAGGTGTAAGAGGCTGGGGACCAGGTGGTGGCAGTTCCCAGCCTCCCCCAGGCCTGTGGGTTGGGGAGCAGGAGGGACGCCTCAGAGAATGTGATTGTGGGGACACAGAAGCTCACACAAGTCTGGCTTTGTCCTTTCTGATCAGCCTCCACCTCTGCAGCCCCTTTCTATCCTCAGAACCCTATGGAGTGAACCCCTTTGCATATGGGAACACTGCAGGATAGGTAAGATGTGCCCTGGGACCACGGACGGTTCTCCCAATATGGTGGGCTGCAATCCAGTCCTCATCTGTACAAAGCCTCTATTCAGGGAAAATGGCATTGGGGAGGGACATGCTCTCCCCAGACTTGGGCTTGTCCTCTTGAAATGTGCCCATTCTAGAGGCTGCTTGCTAAAGACTGAGGAGGGGGTAGGCGGGGCTGAGGCTGTGACAGAGGGGCCTGTGCCTCGTGGTGCCTCCTTTGGCTGGCCTTGCCTCACCTCTGCCCGTTATAGGCCTGTGTGTATTCATGAGCCACCTCTCCCCTCACCTCCCAAGCCGCTGCCTTGAGGTATTCCTTCTAGTTCTGACTCATGGCTGCCCCAAGGCTGCACTTCACACTCAGACAACCCATTGCTCCTTCTGTCTTGCTCCTGATTTTTGAGTAAAGTCACCTAATCATGCTTTGAGTAAAAGGTGCAGCTGCTCTCCAGGGCAGCCAGAAGCTCTGGTCTTGGAGGCGCTCAGCTCCCTCGCCTGGCAGCACAGCCCAGCCCTGCCCTGTACCCTCTTCCTTCACCCCGGTTCAGCATTTTCTCTGTAAGAGGACTTTAAAGAGTTCCTTTATCTCCATTCTCCACCTTGTAAGACGTTTTTCAACCCTTTGCAGTGGAGAGAGGACTCGACATGCCTCCTCCTCTCCCAGAACACCTGGGCACTCTAAGACAGATGAAGGAACTCATGGTGTAATGAAGTGGCGGAGGGCCTGGTGATGGACGGGCTTTCATAGCTTTCGATGCAGTTTGCAAAAGAAGCTGGGCTGCCTTTAGGCCCACGGGGCCTCCTCCTCTTTAAAGCCACAGCCCAGGTGGAGCCGGCAGAAATAGGGCGACCACATAATTTGAGTGTCTCCCAGCATCCTGAGCAAGATGTTCTCAGCCCCCTCCTACCATGGGGCCTGGGGTTAGCTTCACTCCATTTTCACACAGGGCCTTGGAGGGTAACAGACAGTGGATAGGGAAGGCCCTGTTTTTGCCATGTGAGTCGCCTGCCCTGACCAGAAAGAAGCCTTCATTCCTATCAGAAATATAGAAAATATTCTTGTCCCCTCATCATTTTCTATTTCAAGTAACTGCAGACGAGGCAGTTTTGGGGGAAGCAAAAAAGGCTCAGGTGCAGGGTTTGGGTCTGAGTGTCAGCTGTGAGAGCTGGTCACGGGGCTGAGCCTGGGGACAAGAGCCAAGCCAGGTGATGGGAAGGGTGGGGCACCACTGAGGCTGCCTGTCTCCATGGGGGCCTGGCTTCTTGTCCTGCCCTTGCCCTGGGCTCCCAGGCAGGTCCCGCCTCCTCCCCACCTAGTTTTGGTTTCTTCTTCTGCAGGATGAGGTGTTGCACCTCTCATGGGGAAGTCACCTGAGAGCTTGTGCACTCCCTGGCAGTGCTAGGCAGGTTAAAGCACAAGTGGGCCCTGCGTGCTTGAGGAGTGGCCTGCTCCAGGACAGCATCACCTTCACGTGGTATGGGGAGCTGGGAGGTGGTCTCCCCTTCCAAGGTCAGACCTAGGACCACAGGATCAGGGCCAGAAAGCCACCTTCTGATTATGGGAAATAGAGCCCAGGGAGCCCAGGGCACTGGTCAATCTCATCACTGCTGCCCCGTTGGGCATGAGTGACTGTGATTTCAAAGGGTCAGACCCAAGTTCCCTTTTAGCACTTGCATTTGAAGGATTTTCTCAGGTGTCTGGGCAGCATGGGGCACCTTGGAGAGAGCACATTATTGGCAGGGAGTTATCCTTATCATCTCATGGGTGTACCCCCCATTTTGTGGTTAATAAATATGGTTATTTAAGTGGTAAAATTTTGCCCCACCAGATCCACAGAGGATAGCCATGCCAGTGCTCACCCAGCTATTTGACAGCTTATGAGACTTAGATAAAAAGAGCAATTAAGACTATAATATGAAAGTCAGGAGGAGACAGACTTAAGTTCACAAATGGATCCACCTGTGGTGCTTCCAGCCTACTTTGTTAAGTGATGATTTTCTCAGTCCTGGGGGTATGTAAGCAGTATCTGTTCATCTGCTTGCTGTGGATATTGTGGTGGGTCTTCACACATTGGACGGGCTAGCTGACCTGGTGTGGGGACCCCCTTCCATCCTGAGAGCCGCAGGAGGGGAAAGTGGGCAGGAGGGGAAGGGGGTGTACCTGCGCTTCTCGTTCCAGGCATTGTACCACTTGATGAAGCGCTTGGTGCTCTGCAGCTTGGGGTGCAGGCAGTGCTCCTGGCCTCGGTACCTGGAAACACTCTTGGTGGTGATGCTGCAACGGAACAGGATGGGGTAGAGGGTTGAGGCGTCTTGATAGTGGCCCCTGAAGTGGCCTGTGGGTGGCCCTGGTCTGTCTGAATCAGGGCACTAAGTGACTTGGCTTCCACTCTTCCTCAAGGCAGCCCACCCACATGTTCATTTCCTGGCAGGCTCCTTGGAAGGTTTTGGTATCCTCTCATTTCTGAGTCCTTGTTAGGGTCTGGCCCTATATGGAGTGGGTGGCACCTGGAATAGTGTCCTTACCCCCAGTGCACCCCCAGAAGTGGGTTTTCTGCAGACCTCTCTTGGGGAACAAAGGTCAGGGACCAAGCTGTGTTAATGCCTGCAAGGTGAGTGTGCCAAGACCTTTGTTCTTGGACTTGAGGAGCCCTATGGTGGGGCTAAGTTGTGCCCTGATGATCCTGTCATCTCTGTCTAAAGCTTCAGTCTCAGCTCCTCCTGCTGCAGATTTTCCCAGGACGAGGCATTTGCCCACCCTGAAGCCAAATCTTATTGAAGCCCATTCAGACACTTGAGTGTTAAGCCCCAGTTATCTTGCTTCAGGCAGAAAAACAAGACCTGGCTTCTCCACAGCCTGAAGCCCTCAGATCTCTATCAGCCTAGATTCSAACACCTGGCAGAATCCTTGCTGTGCAGTGGAGAAGCAGGGTGTCTTTGTACAGGGTGCAGGGGCCTGAGTTGGAGTCCCACGTTTGGCTGTAGGATCTTAACCTCTCTGAACCCGTTTACCCATCTGTAAACTGAATCTGAAAATAGAACCTACTTCATAGAGTTATTAGGATGATGAAAGGATATAACCTATACAATGTGCACAGTGGCTGGTAGGTGCCCAGCTGACAGTTATTAGCAATTAGTCATGGGAGATGAGACGGGAAAGGAGAAAGACAAGCCTCAGTATGGGATGTATGAGCTGCAGTCTGGCAAGGGAGGAGAGCCTACTGCCTGCCCAGGGCTATGCCCCTCTCTGCCAGGGCTGGCCAGAGGGATGGCAGGAGCCAGGAGGAAGCTTCTGGTTGGGTGGGGGGAAGCATGGTGTTCAACAATGAGAGTCCACCTGGGACACTTGCAAAGTGCAAGGTGAGAGGTAAAGATGCCACTTCCTTCCTGAGGAGCCAAAGAAGGGTGGTTGGAAGTGAGAGTGAAAAGAGGAGGAGGAGAGGGAGGGAGCTCAGCTAGATCCCATGGGTTACCAAAGTCAAGTGCAAGGGCCAAGTTCTAGAAGGGTTTTCATGAATGTGGTTTCCAAACAGTGGGAAGAGAGAATGGGATCTTGCCACCAGAATGGGGGCAGAATGTTTTGAGGGCCCAAACCCGGGGCCTAAGGATGGGTCTTTGGTCCTGCCTTTCCTGGAACCCTTGGTGAGACATGTGGTACCCTGAGCATGGGGCCAGGCTTCAGAGTGAAATCTAGGTGTTTCCCTCTCCCTGGTACCTAGTCATCCTGCAAGAATTTAGCATGTGCATTTTCTCTGTGCTGACAAAGCTGCTTTTGTACTCTGAGTGAAGGGACATGGCAAARCCTGATAAAATCCCCTTCTCAGTTAGGTCAGTGTGCAAGCTGAACATTCCAAATCCTGAAGGTTGGAAAGAACAGGAAAGGACACTCAGTACCCCCACCATGGTGCAGAAATGCTGCATCATAACACTGAGGTTATGAACATTGGTTGTGGAGTACAGAAAGGAGAATTCGTGATCCCAGCAACTAGCCGAAATTCTGGGTCCCACATCCCTCTCCTCAGCAGTTATGGAATGTTGAAGGTTTCTGTGAGAGCTCAGTGGATATATGACACAAATTGACCTTTTTAGAATCTGGACTCTTCTGGATCCTTCTGAGTACAAGGGCTCCCACTTGCAACGTAGACTGCTCTGCCCCCACCCCCAGCCTCAGCAGAGATTTCTGGGTGACTCGGGGTGAGCTGGAAAACTTCCATTTGTTTAGCCTTTGCAACCAAGAATCTGCCTTGGCAAAAGAGAGCTGGCCCCTGTCTGATCTAGAAAGTCTTAAGGATCTGGGGAGGGGAGAGGTGCCTCTAGCCCTCTGAGGGCTCTGGATGATTTAAGAGAGGATGACTGGGTACCGATCTCATGAGGCCACTGCAGGTTTTCTTTTTTTGCTACCTGAAGCCACCTCATATACTCCCTTGATTGTAGTTTCTCTCTGTATCTGAAGAAGTTTAGCCAGGAAAGAGCAAGCCTATCTGGTGAGGATTCTGTCCTTTCCAGATGTCACTGAGATCCATACCTTGTTTTCATTCCCTACGAGTTCTCAGATACAACTTGCAATGCCATCTGACATGTTAAACTCTGGAGCTGGAAGTGGCTTGGGGCTTGTGACTCCTCCCCAGCTCTTTTGTCTCCCTGGTCCCCACCTGAAAGGATTTCCGGGCAGCTTTACTGGACTTGGTCTGCAAGGCGAGGGCCAGGGATGAGGGTGTTAATTTTTGTTGGGGTCATCTCAGGCCAGTGCTTTTCTAAATTCCCCTACCCTTGGCCAGACTGTAGCCCAGGTGGTGGGGGTTGTGGGGTGTGGGTGTGCCCTGCCTTCACATACACTGTGTGAAGGCCTCTGGGCCAGCAGGGCCAGCCGGTGCAAGTGGAAAGCACTTGCCCAGACTGAGAATAAAGTGTGTCCTGTTTCTGGGGGAGGGGAAGAGGGACCAATGGTCCATGGCAAATATTTGGGAGCTGTTTTGCCAAGGGCTCCCTTCCTGGCCAAGAGGGTATTGATGGGAAAGCAGTGGTGCTGGCCTCAAGTGGTTAATTGGGAAGCGGAGGAGCACAAAACTCAGTGTTCTCTTGCTCTGCCCCAGTTTTAAACATTGCCGGCATCCCCACCAAGCAGGGCTTTGGGCTTGTGGCACATTAACCCCAGCAAAACACTTTTCACCCAACTGCTCAGGCTCAGGGACCTGCAAGAAGTCCAGCTGCTGCGGAAAGGGCTGGGGTGTTCTCACAATGAAATCCCTACAAGCTGCAAACTCGCCATCTCAGTGGACAGTCCTCAGATTGGAGACTCTGAGAGGAAAGTTAGGACTTAATACTGGCGTTATTCCTTTCCCCAGAGGCAGGAAGGCAAGATGGCATGCTGAACAGTTTGGGTGTGAGCTGGTTTTGAGTGACTTCAATCTAGGTGATCTAAGTTGGCATTCAGGAGCCCTTTAACCCTTGATGGCCCTAGTACCATCCCTGGTAGCCACAATAGCAAACTGCGAGGCTATTCGTTTGAATAACTAGCAAGGGTGGACTTGCAGATACTTTCTGGAGCACAGGACAGTGACCCCCTTTCAGGACTGTCTCAGCAGCGTACTAAGGRCTTGTTGGGCGATTACAAAGCCTTAGCCAAGGTCTTGATAAAGACAGAGGGAAATGTTTGTTAGCCTGACCCAGCCYCAGGCTATGCCCTGGCACCGGTCAGACTTGCTCTTGGAGTGGAATTAGAACTCACATAACCATCTTCTCCTCGCAGTGCGGGTACTTTGGCTTCATTTCCAGCTTCTTTACGTCGCTGTAGCGGATCTTGGGCCCTTTCCGGGAGCATTTGCATTTGGACCCTGCGGGAGAGAGCGCAGGAGAGGGGGCTGCTTAGTTGAACCAGGGATATCGTACCCCACGATTGTCCTCGGTGCCAATCCAGATCCTCAGGATCTCAGGTGCCTAGTAGTTGGTGTTTAGGTTCCCCAAGACGGGACAGACAAGGGGACTTTCCAACACTCACCGTCCACGCGCGCAACGCAGAGCGCCAGGAGCAGCAGGAGCAGCGCGGCGGTCAGGAGCCTCATGCTGGCCGGAGGGGCGCGGGAGCAGGGACGCGGGGACGGCGCCGGCCGGTTGAAGTGGCGGCCTGGGGAGGCCGCCCGGCTCGGCTCTCTCGCCTCAGAGCACTCCTCCCGGCTTGGCTTGCTCCAGCTGCGCSCGTCAGTGGGTGCCTGGGCAGTCTGTCGCTGCGCTTTGCGCTCAGCTCTGGGATCTCTCCACAGCCTCCCTCCGCCCGCCCTGGCCTCTTTTAAATCCGCTCCTGCCCTCGCAGTGAGCGAGCTCATTAATATGCAGAACCACTCGGTGACTCACTGAGATTTCTCAATGTGGTGGGGGGAGGAGACCTTCCCAGCCCGCCCGCCGCCCGCCCAGGGATAGATCTCAATCTTAGCTGCGCACACTTGGAACCACGCGCGCACATGCACACTCACAGTCTCACATCCGCTACCGCACAACACGCTCTCCTTCACACACTTGCACACTCAAACCACAGTCTGCACGCATTTCCTAGTGCTGCTGCTGCTCTGCCTTGGGGAAGCCAAACCGTGGAGAGGTTGAGAAAGGGTGCTGCTTTTCTGATTCACGTGGATCCCTCTGGCCAGACAGGCTCACTGTCCTGAGCCACCAGGCGACCAAGGCCCATGGTACAGATCCTTGGGGAAAAGCTGAAAGGGTTTCAGGAAAGATGCCAAATGTGAGTGCCAGCAGGACTGACCCCTAGGGTGTGGGCAGTCCCTGTTGGGCCAGCAGCTCTGGTGGCCAGAGCACCAGGCCAATTCTGGATAGGAGTTTGTCCACTGGTTGTACAGCAGCAAAGCCATTGCCCGTGATCATTGAACTGACTCAAAGAGAGTGTGATTTGGGGGAGTTTGGCACACTCCTAAAGGAAGGCTTCCTAGGTAAGTCTATGGTCTGGTGGCTCTCTGGGGCCCGGAGGGAACCAGTGGGGCTTCTCAGTGTTACCCTATTCTCCAAAGCCAGGCAGAGACCCGGTAGTGAGCCCTGACAATGATGACCATCTGGATGAAGTCCCTCCTATGTTCCAGACTTTGCGTGGGATTGTGTATTACACAGTGAGACCAGCCATGCTAGCTGAAATTACTGTCCCCTACTACCAGCACAAGTGGTATCTTTGGCATCACTCAAAGGCTTCTTTTCATCATCTATAAAGAATAGGTTCATCACAGTACCTGTTAGAGTGGCTGTGAGAAGCACATATGTATGTCACATATAAGAAGTGGTTAATGAGATGCCTAACTTGGTGCCAGGAAATGCTGGCATCATTTGTGTGTGTGTGTGTGTGTGTGTGTGTGTGTATACAAACATATACATATAATTATACATACATAATTTGAGTCTTACAATTCTTTCAAATTGATACTTAAATTTCTTTATTTGGCAGATACAGAAAGAGGATTAGAGGAAAGAAAAATCTTGTTCAAGGTCATAGAACCAGGAAAGAGGGGACTAGACCAGGAGGGGACTAGACCAGTAGCTGCAGAACTGGGGCTCATTCTGTTGCCTTTGGGCCTGTTGTCCCTTCAGTTGGTGGCTTCCCTGAGAGCCCCAGACACAGGGGGAGGAGCATCAGGCCGGTGGGGTGCTGGGCTGGGCTCCCAAGGCAGAGCTTGCCCAGTGCTGTTCTGTCAGTCTGGCAGCTCTCTRGGGGCATCAGTGCCCAGAAAGGCTTCTGGGGTAGGAAGGGGGCCATTGGCTAAGGGGGGTAGTGTGAAGAGTCTCTTCCCCCAGGGGAAGCTGAATCCTGAAAAGCAAGTAGAGCCCATAGAGCCTGGGCCCTGTCCCTAAAACCAGGATGGTAGCTGAATAGTTACATTCAGCAGAATATGAGTACAAAGGAGTGACTTTGGAATTTATATTAATTAATTTTTAAAATTTGAAATTATTTTTTCTTAACACAATGCTGCCCATGTTTGTAACAGAAAAAAAAAACATTAAAAGCACAAGCACTTCCACCCACTCATAGATCTATACCAAGATGCTGCTGGCAGAGGTGTCTTTGCAAACCCTTCTCTCTTGGCTTTGCCAGCATGTGCACAGACAGGATCAGGCTACACATGCTGTTTAATAACCTGTTTGTTATCTCTACCATATATCATAGACATTGTTCCATGTAGCTAGTATTGCTTCTAGTATCTCTCTTTTAAAWTTTTATTTAATTTTATTTTTTAATTTGTTCTAATTAGTTATATATGACAGTACAATGCACTTTGATACATCATATATAGATGGAGTATAATTTCTTATTCTTCTGGTTGTACATGATGTAGTATCCCACAGGTCATATAGTTGTATATGTACATAGGGTAATAATGTGTGATTCATTCTACTATCCTTCCTAGCCCCATGCCCACTCCCCTTCCCTCACTTCCCTCTCCCTAATCTAAAGTAACCCTATTCTTCCCCCGCCCCTCCTCTTATGGTGAATTAGCATCCGCATATCAGAGAAAACATTTGGCCTTTGTGTTTTTGGGATTGGCTTATTTTGCTTAGCATGATATTCTTCAGCTCCATCCATTTGCTGGCAAATGCCACAGTTTCATTCTTCTTTAAGGCTGAGTAATATTCATATGTGTGTGTGTGTGTGTGTGTGTGTGTGTGTRTRTRTATATATATATATAAATGGATAAGGAAAATGTGAGAGAGATATATATATACACACACACACACATATATATATATATGGATATATATGTACACATATATATGTGTGTGTGTATATATACATTTAAACCCATTCTGTTTATATATATACATACACACACATATATATGTGTACATATATATATCCATATATATGTGTGTGTATATAAATCTCTCTCACACACATTTTCTTTATTCATTCATCTGTTAAAGGGCACCTAGGATGTTTCCATAGTTTAGCTCTTAATGGCAACCCTTGAAGTCATGTGGTACAATGGTTAAGAGGTTGGCATCAGGACTCAGACCACTTGGGTGTGAATCCTAGCTACCGATTGTGAGACTTGGAGCAAATGATTTTTTTTTGGTCTTSATTTTCTCATCTGTGAGATAGGGATGTGAGATAGGCACTTCCAACACAGGGGGAATTGAATGAGATAGTGCTTGTCAAGCTTTTAATGTGATCTCCAGCACAGAGTTAAGTGTTCAGTAAGTGTTGACTGTTGTTGTTATTATTATTATTATTCTGCATATAGACTACTCTACTGAACAGGTATACAATTAACTGAATACTGCCTGCTGGACATTTGGATTATTTTCAACTGTACACTYTTGTAAGAAGTGCTATGTAACAAATATTCTTGTAGCTCAGTGTTTCAATAATATGTTGATTAGGGCTGGGGTTTTGACTCAGTGGTAGTGCACTTGCCTAGCATGTGTGAGGCACTGGGTTTGATTCTCAGCACCACATACAAATAAATAAAATAAAGGTCCATCAGCAACTAAAAAAAATATGTTGATTAATTATGTGGTTTTTAACAGCATCAGGCCTGGATCATGGGAACTGAGTTTTTTTTTTTTTCCTTCTTCCTCAGTCTATACATGTTGATCTTTGGTTTGTAAAATACAGTCACTGTGTCTTGGCAAACAGCTACCCCCTGTTCGTGTGCTTCAGGGGATCAGGAAAGGATGAGATTCACTGCTGCCAGAAGGTCTGTGAGTGATGCTGCCCAACTGGACAAAGGAGGAGACTTGACCCCTGACCTGACTTCAGGGTTCAGACTCTACTGAGCCCAGCTTGGGTGAAGTTAAGTAGGTGTGGGGCAGGTGAGGTGGGCATGGGGGGCAGTTCTTTGCACAGTAGCACCACTTGCTTTGAGGAGGTTCCCTGAAGGACAACCCATGTGGTCTGCCTCCCAGAGGGCAGCTGGCTGTGTGTGTGCATTGCAGGTGCCTAGGGATAGAGCCATGCAAGGTTTTATGGGAGGGATAGACACAGGTGTGGGGGCATAAAGGGGAGGAAATAGAAATAGGACCCATTCAATGAGGAAATGGAACCTTGGCTGAGCCCCTTGAGATTTGCTTACCCATTCTGTTTACACTCATTGAACACCTGCTCTGTGCCAGGCTCTGTGCAGGTGCCAGGGCCTTCAGGTGAGCAGGTTTGTGCCTGTCTTCAGGGGAAGATGGCATCAACCAACAAATACAGGGATAAATATGCAAGTCCTGCAGATGTAGGTGTGATGGGGGGGAGGCTGGTGCTGTGAAGCCTACCAGGGGATCTGGCCAGGCACAGGTGGAGATGGATTCCTGAAGGAAGTGACCAGTGGGTTGACTATGGAGTATGAGGAGGAGGTCACCAGGTGATCATGGGAGGGAAGCCACTCCTGTCCTTTACAGTCCCTRCTGCTTACACCCTGGGGCTGCACGGCTCCAAACCCTTCCCTGGCCCTGATCTCACACAGAGTCAAGGCAAGTCCCCAGCAGTGCCACCCCCTCGTGGCCATTATCTTCCATCCTCCACGCAGGCTGTGCTTGGCTACACCATCTTGTCTCATCCCTCAGACATGCAAACTCTTCCTCTATTRGGATCTTTGGGCTCCCGGTCCCTCTGCAGGAAGCGCTCTTCCCCAGAAGTCGCCAGGCGGCCCTCCTCATCCAGTCTCACACCCATATTTGCCTTTCAGACTCAAGGGCTCTGACTGCTCCCACTGGCAGCCACTCTCCATGCCTTGAYGTATGTCAATTTATGTAGAACCGTCTCGGTTTGTATCACTTTCCCATTTATTTGGGGGTGTATTTGGGGACATCTTCGGGTCTGCTGGGTCTGTATCTGTCTCCTGATCCCCAGTGCCTATCATCATGTGTGGCACCCAGCAATGGCTCCTTCTGCATCTTTTGGGTAAATAAAAGCACATTTCTGGCAAAATCTCAGGAATAGGAGAGAATGGTACTGAACCCAGGCGGTGCAAATGGCAAGGTCGTGTGTGAGAATTTGTGTGTGTGCACGCACGTGTGGAAAAGGGGAAGGGGTGGCTGCTGGCTCTGAGTCCAAGGCTGGAGGGAGCCCCCCCCCCCACTCTCCAGCACTCTGCCTGGAGGCCTGCGTGCCTTTTTCTGGGCATCACCCCATCCTGTGGCACCGTATGCAGCTGGGTGCCTCCTCTCCTCTACACACAGTCCTGATGCTGGCCCCCTCTCCAGGACCTTGTTTTGAGGCAGAGGGGGACAAGGAACCATGGTTCCAAGGACAACTCCTGGTTTTGTTCTTTACCCTGGGAATTAGGGACCCTGAAAAACTTAAGTTCAGA